CTGGCTCTGGTGGGAGCTGGGGGTGTCCTCTTGCTTTCCCAGCCTTCACGTGGCAGGTGAGGGCCAACGACCGACGGTACCACTCACAGTCCAAGAAGAAATTTGCCTTCTGCCTGAGCAGGAAGAAGTACAGGGTGAGCCAGCCCAGCCCAGCCTGGGCCGTTCCCTCACCCAGCCCCTCACTCCTGAGCCTGTGGTGGGTGGGGGGGACATGACAGAGATGCTCCAGAGGGGTCTCCAGTGGGGTGGAGAGTCCCATCCATAGTCCTCAGTGAGGACCTGCTCCCTCCCTCTCAGGTGCCCCTAAAACTGTCAGACAAGGACCACAAGTCTGTGAAGGAAACTTTTCAGTCTGATGGTCAAATAAAAAGATTTTTCAAAAAGTTTTAATTGAACAAAATCAGATTTATTTTTTTTTTATTTTAGCTAAATAATGGCCATCTGTTTGGGGTCAGTCAGCTGGGCTTTAGATGATCAGAAAGAAATTATTTTGTTTCAAATTTATGTGGCCCTTTGCTCTAATAAATCCCCCTTTTTTTTCCCCCGTGGCTTTGGTTATTTTTCAAGGCACCTCTTACCCCATGAAAAGTCCCAGAAACGCCGAAATGTTTTGGGGATTCACAAAGCAGATCCTTGATTTGTGACCTGCCTTTCCCCTGCAGGGCAATGCCATCAAAACAGCCAAGTACAACCTGCTCACCTTCCTGCCCCTGAACCTCTACGAGCAGTTCCACAGGATGGCCAACGTCTACTTCGTCTTCGTCATCCTCCTGCAGGTGACAAGGACACCAGGGGGGTGTGGGGGAGGAGGGTTCTCTGGAGTTCAAAGAGGGGAACTCAGGTCTAAAAGGTCTCCAGGGATGTTGCTTTTCCGTGGTGTCCAGTGTCTTTCATGAACTCTGAGGGGTTTAACCCGTGTTGTTTGGTTACTTTAAATTAAATTTTCCCAGCATCAATGGGATGTGGAGCTGCTGGAGACAGTCCAGAGAGGCCACAGGGATGCTCTAAGGGCTGGAGCCCCTCTGCTCTGGAGCCAGGCTGGGAGAGCTGGGGGGGTTCATCTGGAGGAGAGAAGGCTCCAGGGAGAGCTGAGAGCCCCTTGCAGGGCCTAAAGGGGCTCCAGGAGAGCTGGAGAGGGACTGGGGACAAGGGAGGGACAGGACAAGGGGAATGGCTTCCCAGTGCCAGAGGGCAGGGTGAGATGGGAGATTGGGAAGGAATTGTTGGCTGTGAGGGTTGGGAGGCCCTGGCACAGGTTGTGCAGAGAAGCTGTGGCTGCCCCACCCCTGGAAGTGTCCCAGGCCAGGTTGGACGGGGCTTGGAGCAACCTGGGCTGGTGGGAGGTGTCCCTGCCCATGGCAGGGGGTGGCACTGGATGGGCTTTAATGTCCCTTCCAACCCAAACCATTCTGGGATTCTGTGACATTCACTGGGCTTGGATGTAGCCAGAGCTCACACAGATGACCAAAACAGAAATCCAACCCTCCAGAGACCCACGACACATTTCACACATTTCCCTTCAAAAAGGGGTGGGAATCCAGCAATCCAGGTCTCTGCAGGCAGAGATGTTGATCCGATGGTTCCCAGGCAGGTCCCTGCCGCCCTCAGGCCCTGGCTGGGGAGTGAGGGGGTTACTCAGCCACCACAAGAGACCCAAGGTGGGGTGAAAGCCGTGTCAGTGGTGTAACATTCTCCTCCTCTAGACCTTCCCCGAGATCTCCACGGTGCCCTGGTACACTCTGCTGTTCCCCCTGAGCTGCCTCCTCGTCATCCGGGGCCTGCGGGACCTGATCGATGACATTGTGAGTGGGGGTGGGATGTGGGGTGGGATGTGGGATGTGGGATGTGGGGCCTGAGGGACAGAAGCAGAGAGGGGCCCCTTGCTGTGAGGTGAGCTGAGAAGCTCAGGAGTTGCTGTTGTCCATAGTTCTTGTGGTATCAACAACTGCACCACATCCACAACGCTTTGTATCCTCCCTTGGGAAGGATGTGACCAGTTGGGTGCTTTTTCGGGGGTCTAGACCCCTGTTTCTGTCATCTTCAACACCTTAACCCCTGGCTGTATTGCCAGGCTGGTCCTCAGAAGCACTGGGGGGGGGGAGGGAGGAAATTCAACCCTTTTATTAATCAGAACACAACTCCTGATAGCTCAGAAGGCAGGTCCTGCCCTGGGGCTGAGGAGGCAGGTGGTGGCATTGAGGGGGTTGTTTTTCGGGGCAGGGCAGCCTGGCATGGCCCATCCCTTTCCTTTGGCCTCTCTCTCTCTCTCCCCTCTGTGCAGGGCCGTCACCAAAGCGACAGGAGCATCAACAGCAGGCCCTGTGAAATCCTCTGTGGGAAGAGGTGAGGGGCTCTGGGGAACTGTGCCCGTGTTTTCCACACTGTGGATCATCTGAAGGGCTGAGAATCCTTGAGCAGCTGGGAAGGGTTTTGCTGGGACTGTCCCTGGCTCTGCACACTCCCATCGGCTCCCAAATCAGCTGCAGGTCCAACTGTTTCCCCGTAGGGATGATCCCATTCCAGTCATGGACAGCAGGTCTAGGAGAGCCCCCCTGGGCTGTGCTGGCAGCGGGGTTCCCTTGGCCACAGAACCCCTCCAGGTCACCATATCTAACCCACAGAGTCGTGTCCCTGCTCAGCACCGGTCCAGGGAAGGATGAGCTTCTCCCCGCTGTGCCCAGGGGGCTGAAAGTCCCTGTCACCCGTGGGTACGAGGGATGTGACAGGTGGCTCCTGTGCCACCCTCAGTGCTCAGCCATCCCTCGCTCCTGAGCACAGGAACCTGGAGACCCCACTCCCACAGGAATCTGGGGCAGGCATGGGCAGAAACACCCAGGGCCTCCAACCCACTGCTCTGCAGGGACAAACATTTCCCTCTCCCCCCAAATCTCCCGCAGGTTCCAGCGGCAGAAGTGGCGCCACATCCGCGTCGGGGACATCGTCCGGCTGCGCAAGGACAGCGTGGTCCCGGTGAGCCCGGGGCTGGCTGGGCACGGGGGGGTTGTTGGTGAGCAGGGAGGGCTCACCTGGCTCCTCTCTCCTCCTTTGGGCTCCTCAAGGCTGACGTGCTCCTGCTGTGCAGCTCCGAGCCCAGCAGCCTGTGCTACGTGGAGACAGCGGACATCGACGGGTGAGGAGGGGACAGGGGACATCGTGGTCATGGAGTGAGGAGGGGACAGGGGACATCACAAACATGGAGTGAGGAGGGAACAGGGGACACCATAAACATGGAGTGAGGAGGGAACAGGGGACACCATAAACATGGAGTGAGGAGGGAACAGGGGACACCATAAACATGGAGTGAGGAGG